TATTGTATGGGGAGGGGGCGCGAAGAAAATTATGATTGAAAATTGGGCCGCAAGTATTGAAACATTGAGAAGTACTGTTCTAAGTATATTTATTACTGTCTGCTTGATTTTGAACTTTTTAAATGAATTTCAATAACTGTGACTACCGTGCAGAGGGTGATTTTTGTTGAATCTGTCGAAGAGGAAAGTTTTCAAGTTGGTGTGCTATTGAAGTTTGGAGAGTAGGGGGAAAATTCAGGTGTGTCTTTCTTATTATTTCACCATGTTTCAAAGTTGCAAGATCCGTCAACAATAACCCTCGAGCTGGTTCGGAGTTCTACACTCATAAGCAATCAACGATCTTGTAGAATATTAGAGACAAACTTCGTAATTTCAAATCATGGTCAGTCGTAATGTAACTTGTTTAACGTAGTTTAATCTGGAACTATCCAGTAATTATAAAAGATGTGATTAACAGGAGACAACACACGTAAAATCCATAATAGCACGAATTCAAAGTTCACCCAACAGAACAAATTTGTAGTCGAAATATCGCAATTAGTCAAAACGAAAATTTAGAATTGCTTTCAAGCATTTTTTATTTTTTATTTTTGTTTTCGTTGCTCTTCAGCATCATCCTTAATATAGGCTGGCTTGCGCAATAATCACGATAAGACTTTTCTGGATTTTTCCAGAAACATCGATGTCGCTTAATTTCGCCACCAGATTTGTCGCCAACTATTTAAACCAACTATTGCCAGATTTACTATTGAAAAAAAATGATCTTTACCCGCAAACGGTCTTTCCGGTCACATTACCGTTTCAGCAGAAAAGCAAACATATTCTGACATTTCCGTAACAATTTATTTGTAACATATTTTTCTTCGAAGAAATTAATCGATTAAAACGGAAATTAAAATAGCTCATATAAGATATGATACCTTTAATCGATAGTAAAACATGGCATATTTTTTAATGTTGAACACTTATTTGAAGTAAAATATTTCAAGATAGATCTGTATTGCTCAACACAGAGGACGAAAAGTTTACAACTACTTGTCAGTTGCGAGGGAAATAATGTTATACTGATGGTTGGGAGTTCTTAAGGTATCCGACTACGTTCGGAACCGTGATTTTAAAAAAGCGAATAAATGGATAATTTTTATGATATTTAGTGTCACTTAGATTAGAATACATGTATGAAATTGTTTTAAGAACATTTTGACAAAAAAAATTATTTCAATACAATATTTCGGCAAAAAATTAACTTAGAATAATTTTTTTTCCAAATGTTCTTCTTTTGTGAAAAATGCTTCTATTATAATAATATTTTGCCTGTATATAGCTCCGACCTCTCTACAGAGGCTCAACTACAATTTTTGAAAAATTCACATTATTTTCAGAGTTACCACCCATTTAAATAAGTATTGGCGTTTTTTTCTTAAAATTGCTCCCCTCTGTTGTCGTAAAATATGGATAAACCCACTTCTAAGTTATATATTTCAAAAATTCTAGTTGAGCCTCTGTACAGAGGTTGGAGCTATAGACAGGCAAAATATTATTATAATAGAAGCATTTTTCACAAAAGGAGAACATTTGGAAAAAAATTATTCTAAGTTAATTTTTTGCCGAAATATTGTATTGAAATAACTTTTTTTGTCAAAATGTCCTTAAAACAATTTTATACATCTATTCTAATCTAAGTGATACTAAATATCATGAAAATTATCCATTTATGCGCTTTTTTAAAATCACGGTGCCGAACGTAGTCGGATACCTTAAGATATAATTTTTGTTTTATTACTACTCATTTTATTTTGTATTTTATCTAATAGAATAAACTCGT